TTATTCATTCAAAATATTAGAGAAATATAAAAGTTCATTGCGGAGAAGATCTTGAATGGGTTAAAACCGAAACCAAGCCATTCACACAGAATGCATATTCAGCGCATTTTTTAGACGAACAAATATGACTGCTACACTCGTGTCTCACACAAGAGATGTATAGAAAGCCATGCAAAGTTAAAACAGTTTAAACTTTTAGAAAACATGTCACGAATTTGTGGAGGTTTATTCCTTTTCACTGCGTCTCATATGTTTTTTAATGCAGTCTGTGTGAATGGCGCTTCGGCTCTTTGGATTAAGCAATGCATAAATACATGATGCTGTTTTGTTTATAATTGTTTATGCAATTTATGAAATTATATTTGATTTTTATGAGTTAATTTAGACGTAATGCACGTTTTTATAGAGTTAATTCCTTGCGTTGACAATTTAAATGCGCTGCATTATTTTGCTCATTGCGCCCTCCTGTGGCCTCGGGAGACAATTAGACCTATACAATAAAGACCTATTTAATCTGCATATAAAACATTAGAAATTAGATATTTGTTTAATTTTTATTGTGTTTGATTTTTAAAACAAACAAATATTTGTTGTTTGTCTCAATAAATTGTGTCAATTATAAATACAGTGGTTAAATGTAAACATTTTTTTCTATTGCTTTTTGTTTTAAAATAGGTTATAAAAAGTCAATAATTATCGATACCGAACGATATGAAACATTATATTGTTTCTAAAGTTTTTTGCTATATCGCCCAGCCCTAGTTCATGCTTAAAACAAGAACAAATATATGTAAATTTTCCTTTGAATTAGATAGATTTTACTGAGCCCATTGGCAGATACTTGTTCGTGTTTTAGTCATAAACTCACTTAATTTTGATCAGTTTCACAGAAAACAAGACTCCTTATGTTATGTCGTTTTTCTAAGTAAATGTATCTTGATTTAAAAATCTCTAGACATTTGCACTGGAAAACAAGACAAAAATACTGGGGAAAAAGAGCATTTTTTGCAGTCTGATCTGAAAGTACAGTATTCTATTTCCATATTCTAATCCTTAACATTTTTTATTTTTGATAAACGAATTAAAAAGAGATCTGTTGGGGTTGTATTTTCAAATTTTGAAGCGGTGCTAATACAACATATTGACATATTGTGTTCCCTTCAATTCATTCCTTCATTTTTCTTTACTTGGTCTTAAAAGGGTCTTTAAAAAGTCTTAAATTTACCTTCATAACACCTGCAGAAACCCTGTTTGTTCTTCATGCAGAAGCTGATTGCAATTTTTTTTTTTGACTATGACATTTTCTTGCTTTGTCAGGCGTAAACGGCGTAATTTTAGTAAACAGGCCACAGAGGTCCTGAACGAGTATTTCTACTCGCATCTCTCGAACCCTTACCCGAGCGAGGAGGCCAAAGAAGAGCTGGCCAAGCAGTGCAGTATCACTATGTCTCAGGTGTGAGCTCCTCTATCAGATCTATTTTCTCTATCTAATAGGCTTGTTTTCTTTTGAGCGTTTGAAAGGAGCCTGGCTCTCAGTCCACTAAGGGAGCGTCCGGTCCTCAGAGACGGATCAGTTTCATTTTGGCTCTGAAATCATGACAGGTGTCCAACTGGTTTGGCAACAAGAGGATTCGCTATAAGAAGAACATTGGGAAGTTCCAGGAAGAGGCCAATCTGTATGCCATGAAGACGGCCTTAGGGGCGACACAGAGCGAGGAATCACCCCACACTCCAAACTCCACTGGTTAGTTCAAGTCTTTAGCTCTAACAGGGCATTTTCACACTAGTTTTGGAGATTTTAAATAGTCCTGAGCGGTATATTTAATACATATTAAGAAACAGCAACATTTACCTACATATAGTTTGCTGCAGCAGAGATAATGCAAACGAATCTCTTGAATCAGAGATCTGAATTGAATCATTGAATTTGATTCACGGAGGTGAATCGCTCAAATCAAATGAAACCAATATTGTGCAAAAACGATTTCAGGTATAAAGTGATTAAATATGTTTGAAAGCAATAACTATATATTTAGATGTTTAACAATATAATACAATGTTATAAATATATTACTGTTCAAAAGTTTAGGGTCTGTACATAATTGTAAATTTGTAAATCTCTAATGCTTACCAAAGCTGAATTTATGTGATCAAAAATACTGAAAACATTATGAAATATTATTACAATTTAAAAGAACTGTTTTATATTTGAATATATTTTAAAATGTAATTTATTCCTGTGATGCAAAGCTGAATTTTCAGCATCATTACTCCAGTCTTCAGTGTCACATGATCCTTCAGAAATCATTCTAATATGATGATTTGCTGCTCAAGTTTTTTTCAGGATTCTTTAATGAATAGAGTCTAGCGTTTATTTAAAATATAAATATTTTCTAAAATTATAAATGTCTTTACTGTCACTTTTGATCAATTTAATGCATCTTTGCTTCAAATGTTTGAACAGTAGTCTGTATGACAACATATGTATTTCTAAAATGAAAATAACTGTGCTTGCTTTGTGTTTTGCTCCATTTGATTGACATGTATGTGCATGATGAACAAAGACCACAATGTTTAATCACTTTCTGTTAGGATCTATTTTGCATAATGTTATATTGAAAGTATAACAGTAAAATTATAAACACATAAATTAAAAATTATAATTATTAATTAAATTATTAAAATGTACAGTGGTGGCCAAAATTATTAGAACACTAGTACTTTTATTTTTTTTTCTCAGATCTCTGTGTGGAGCACTGGCTGCTGTCAGACTCCTTGTGCAAACAAAAATCTCACTAGATTATTACAATTAATGGAAAAATGAATGTTTGGAAATGCAAACTGATATTTCTTACTGACACATTACAATAAAAGATTGCATTTTTTTAACTGGTGAAAATGAAAATGTTGTTATGCTAGCATGTGTAGAAATGTTTAAATCATGTGTGTTACATTTAACTCCGCGTTTGTGCCCCGCTCAGCCCGTACATGTGAAAAGCTTTTTACAGACCGTTTCCTTATTGGTAGGTAGCCAAATGCATACGAAGGAACAAAAACCAACTCTTTTAGGGATGCTAAATGTTCGGCAACCGAAATTCGGCCGAAAATAGCAAAAAAATATATTTCGTGTTCGGCCAATAAGCGAAAAGGATGAATAATATGTACCGAACAATGACTAACACGATCGAATAGAGGCACGCACTAATGCAGCAAACATGTCGGCAGTGTGAAAGTATTTAAAACTATTAGAGAAAGATGCAGAAATCATTACAAGCACGAAGCACCGAAAGCGAAAGACTGTTTAGTGCTGCATCACATGTCTCCGATGAGATGAAAACCAACTCTTTTAGGGATGCTAAATGTTCGGCAACCGAAATTCGGCCGAAAATAGCAAAAAAATATATTTCGTGTTCGGCCAATAAGCGAAAAGGATGAATAATATGTACCGAACAATGACTAACACGATCGAATAGAGGCACGCACTAATGCAGCAAACATGTCGGCAGTGTGAAAGTATTTAAAACTATTAGAGAAAGATGCAGAAATCATTACAAGCACGAAGCACCGAAAACGAAAGACTGTTTAGTGCTGCATCACATGTCTCCAATGAGATGAAGAGGTGGCTGATGCTGATGGTTAGGCTACTGTATGACACTGACAAATTGCATGTATTCAAACAGCGCTGCACGAGCTCACGGCACCAGGGTTCAAAGCCCAAAGCACGAGGAAAATCTGCGCTGAAACACTGTTACTCATCATTTGCTCAGTAACATTTTTATTCGTTTTTTTAAAGGCATGTGACAATGTGATACGTGTGACAAACATCTTCCCAAATTCGTAATGAGAATCATTCATACATTTTTTCAGTCCCGCTCCCGCCCGCAGGGGCGTGTCTAGAGCATTTTAAATGGGGGGGCCAGGCTGGGGCACTGCCTCAAAATAGGGTTATAAACAAGGCATTTGTTGCATCCAGTGGGGACATAATTACGGATTATAATGACTTATACTGTCTTTTTACGCGTTTTATGCACCAAGAGCTTGTAACACTCCAAAGAGAAAGGAAAAATTGAAATCACATCATATGACCCCTTTAATTTATGCAATGGTGAAAAAAATAGCAAAATAGGCCTACATGGGGGTGGGGGATGCGAAAAACCGTGTTTGGTGTTCGGTATTCGGCCCAGTGTTTCATTTTGTTCGGCTTCGGCCAAGAATTTTCATTTCGGTGCATCCCTAAACAAATTAATTTAGTTGTTTCTATTAATATTTGGCTACATTAAGTATATGTAAGAATGAGATAAGAATATTTAATGATTTTAGGGAAGGAACAAAATTATTTTTATAATTAATGTTTACTTAGGATTATTCAATAATAATAATAATAATACTTCGTTATCGAAGAGGGTGTCCCATCGATAAATATCGATACCGTTTTATCGCCCAGGCCTAGTTCAGTGTTAAGTAAATATTTTTAAATTGTTGTTTTATAATTGATTTTTTATTTGAAAAGCAGGACAAAATAGTAAAAAGCACATTTTGGCTATTTAATTCATGCAATGGTGAAAAAATGGCAAAATAGGCCTACATGGGGGAAAAAATGCAAAAAAACGTCTTCGATATTCGGCCTTCAGCCCAGTGTTTCATTTTGTTCGGCTTCGGCCAAGAATTTTCATTTCGGTGCATCCCTAAACTCTTTATATCTCTCAGAAAGATACAGCGCCGAGTTCAAACAGAAGATAGAAATGAATGAACATACCATTTCGTAACATTTGAATTTTCCGGTGTAATGCAATCTCATGCAGAATACAGCGCAGTGAAGTGAGCAAGTTTGTTCTCATTAATAATGCGGCCCGAGCCGCTAATAATGAACCGTCGCTCCGAGACCCTGTTATTGCGACTTTGTGCGACCCACAGTTTGAAAACCCCTGCTCTAGTAAAAGGCATGGTAGTAATGTGTTACAAGGTTTTTCATATATGACTGAGTCTCGTACCTCTCATTCTTCCAGGCTCAGGATCGTTCTCGCTGTCAGGGTCAGCTGACTGCTTCCTAGGAGTTCCTCCAATGAACGGAGAGCAGCCTCCATTCCTGCGGCCCGCTGCATGTCATCATCTCTGTGCATGAGTTTGGATCTCACTGGTGAATGATGTGCTTTTGTGTGTTGTTTGTTTGCCGTGCAGCTCTGCCTAAATGTCCTTTTCCTCTCTCTGTCGGGTGAGGAGCTCATCACATGCATGCTTGTGTTTGCCGTCTATCAGTCTCGCTTTTTAAGTGACTTTCACTGTGATCTTTACTCGGTTATGCTTTTTTGCAAGGATTCACATGCTCTGCTGATTATAATTAAGGCCTATTCATATCAAGAGCGATGTGTGAAGTAGGGATGTGCGATATATATCATCTGCGATAATATCGTAATTGTTGTTTTAACGATGTGCGATTTGACATTATCGAGTATTTTGCAAAAACCATTCAAAACATCCCTACAGAGCACACGCATACATTACGTGAAGTCTAGACTAGTGCGTGTGCGCATTTAGAGTGTGTTCTTTCACTGCATGATTCAGTCTATTAAAATGCATTTAGAATGATCACAAATTCAAGACATGATGGCAGAAAATTTATATATTTATACCACTTCATATAGTTATTCAATTTCACACGAAGAGTGCCGTTTTTCTCCAAAAATTACCATGATTACAAATTTGACATTGAATTTAATAAACAAGTTAATTAAGATACCATATTGCTTGTTTTTGCTCTATTTCGCCAACAAAAATCATTCCGAATACAGCCACAGCGCTGTTTTGCGTCTCTGAGCAGCATGACGGTGTTTCGTTCTTGAATGAATCAACCGTTTAAATGATTCGGTTCAATCGCAATGACTCACTTATTAACAGTGATTTGCTGCCACCTGCTGACGGTTTTCATTTCAAATTTGGCTTTTTCTTTTCTAACACACTCAGCAAAATATCGTCTAATTATCGTTATCGATAAAATCCCATAAAATATCGAGATATAATTTTTTGTCAATATCGCACACCCCTAGTGTGAAGTGGCACATTAATTTTTTATGAGAAACATTCACACAAGGTGAATTGCACATATGTGGTCTTACATACAAAATATAACCTATCTAAGCTCTTTGAGTGAAAGTGTCCAGAAAAATACTGTTTAAATGAAATTAAAACTTTAAATCTGCCAATACAAATTTCACATAAAATAAGTGCGAAATAAAATATTTCAAATATCAAATGTTTAAAATTTTATTATCTAATAATACAGATTTTAGGCTACTTCAAATAAATGTGAAATATACATGTATCTTCGTGATTATAAAGATAAGAATAGTGGACTATTATATTAGTATTAAATATAGTAAATAAGGTGCTGTGTAAATGTTTAAAATAATTCTATTTATTATCTACTAATACAGATTTCACTTCAATTAAGAAATGAATATCTTTGTATAATGATAATAATAGTGGTTTATTATCATTAATAAAAATAATAGATAGTAATAAATAAAAAAAATAATTAAAAGTGCTGTATAAATGTTTAAATTATTATTATAAAATGTGTATTGTTGTTAAAAATGTAAATCATCTCCCAATTCAGATTATTATTAGATTTCACTTGCTTTAAATAAGTGTAAAATAGCAATATATTGGTATAATGATATTAGTAGTAAAAATATTTGTAATAAAAATATAGTGTGGTATAAATGTTGAAATGATCATTTTTTTTACTGTTATTATTATTCAACAGTATATTTCACTTGCATTAAATAGGAATATATCTTGATAGAATGATAATAGTGTTCTTTTGTTAGCAATAAAAAATAGATCATTTTACAAAATAGCTTTTGTTTATTAAAAAAAGAAAGCATTGCATTTACAATATGGCTTCTGCAGTGAAATCATTAAAAATATGTCAATATAAAAGGTGAATGCTTCTGCGTTACTTTTAAAGAGGTCATATGATGCTTTTTTAAAGATCATTATTTTGTGTATTTGGTGTAACAGAATATGTTGACATGCTTTAATGTTCAAAAAACACATTATTTTTCAAATACTGTACATTATTGTAGGTCCTCTATGCCCCGCCTCTCTCAAACGCCATCTACTTTCGGAAGGCCAAATAAAGTGCTTTTGCTTTCGCCTAGAAACACACAGCGTCTCCCTGACATGCTGCTTAAACACTAACTGCGGTTACTGAAACCACGCCTTCTTTCTTTGCGTGCACATTTGGGCGGCATTACGCAAAAATTTTCCACATAGTGACATAGATATGTGGGGGCGTGTTTAGAACAAGCCGTTTTAGGGGGGCGTGACAGAGTCTTAACTTTGATAAAGAATATCTCTTTGGTTTTGAGACTTTAGTCTTTGCAACTTCAGGGATCTTATCTATGCACAATCAGCTTGTAACACTCCAAAGAGACATATATACATACACATATATATGGTGTTAGTAAAAGAAATGCTAGCTAAGATGCTAATTTACATAAAAAAGTTTTGCAAACAATTTATGCATTTGTTGAGTCATTTGTTTCATGAATAAGGCCCTTTTCTCCATTTGGATGAATGAGTGTGTTTGTGTGAGAGAAGAGTTGGATGAGTTCATGGCGTTTAGTTGCCGTCATGTATTTTAATTGTTTTATTTTCGCTTTTCCACTACATTACAACTTCCACTGTTTCTTACTGCAATATCTGGGTGTTGAAAGAGGAACCTTTTAAACTGCATTAAGACTGCTTTCATTATAGTTATTATATTATTGTTATCACTGCTCTATATTGTTTATTCAAAGCTCAGATAGAATTGGCTTGGGCAATAGAGAAAAATCCAAAGATAGTTTTTTTTCGTGTGTGTGTGCGTTTCTCTTTTTTACTGGGTTTGTGTATGTATCAGTTATATGAATGAGGTGTGTTTGCTGTCTTTATTTACTTCAGCTTGTAACACTCCAAAGAGAAAGGAAAACTTGAAATCGCATCATATGACCCCTTTAAGTACAATGTGAACAACATGGCAAAATCCACTACAAACAGCAAAATGTGAAAATTTTCTCCCTCATATTGATCCAAACTATAACTTTAAGCCAGATCATTGTAAATGACATCTTCAGCATAATAAGATTTTTTTTTCACTCACTGTGAATAGGCCTTAAATTCTGTCGTGTATGCTAGTATTTTGTTTAGAGATTTCTGTATAGGATGACTTGTGTTTTTCTGGTTTTAACAGCAGTTTCCTTTGTCTGCAGACTAATGGTAGCTGGCAGGAGCAGAACACGCCACCCTCCGCCGCTTCACCCGGCAGCGATCACTCCGACAACTCGGACTGATGAGCTCCTTCCGCTGGCGTCCAGCTCAGATACCGGAGGACACACCAAATGACGAAAGAATGATGGTCACTCTTCTACCCAAATGCAGTTTTAGTTTTGTTTTTAAGAAGCTCATTATCAGACTTGACATGAAACACGAGCAGAGATTTTCCATGTAAACCATTCATAAAGCTGTTCTAATAACAATTGTCGTATTCCATTCAATACGGTAATTTACCTAAGAATGGGTCTCATTCATGAAGCATGATGTAAATTGTTTGTAATATCGTAATTTTTTTTGCATTCAGTTCAGTGCGAGCAGAACAGATTTCTGTCAAAATGTCACACACACACACACACACATATATTTTAATTGTTTTATTTTCGCTTTTCCACTACATTACAACTTCCACTGTTTCTTACTGCAATATCTGGGTGTTGAAAGAGGAACCTTTTAAACTGCATTAAGACTGCTTTCATTATAGTTATTATATTATTGTTATCACTGCTCTATATTGTTTATTCAAAGCTCAGATAGAATTGGCTTGGGCAATAGAGAAAAATCCAAAGATAGTTTTTTTTCGTGTGTGTGTGCGTTTCTCTTTTTTACTGGGTTTGTGTATGTATCAGTTATATGAATGAGGTGTGTTTGCTGTCTTTATTTACCGTTTGAATGAGTATATCAACAGTGCTGTCTTTTCTCTGTACAGTGAAACACCTGTATTCTCTACCTCTTTTACAATAAAGACTGTCTGTGTACACATTCATCATTTGCGCTTAAATATTGTTTACTTGGTTCACATAATATGGCACTTGCAGCCTATTTTACTTTAGTAATCTGATTAATTTCCCAGGGAAATGTTATGTGTTAATATTTTACTGAATGGTATTTCTGTCAAGTCAGACTAGCGTCTAAAAAAAGCGAGAAAATTTGGTTACCGACACCATTGTGAAAGATACACCAGAATCTGGATCTTTCTAGAATCTTCATCTCATGTGAATGTACATCTTTTTAAATATATTTACTATTAATTTCTTTAGGTGTAATACTTCTTTGTGGAAAACATTAATGAATGTTTGAAACCTCAACTTTGAGAGCAGATGGCAAGAACAAGCAATTCAACGCAATGAAATTAGTGCTGTCAAACGATTAATCACATCCAAAATGGTTTTTTGTTTACATAATATATCTGTGTGTACTGTATATTTATTATGTATATATAAAATACACGTACAGTATATAATTTGAAAATATTTACGTGTTTACATGTGTATATATATATTCATATATTTTATATAAATATATTTAATATATATAAACATTTTTATTGAATATATACAGCATACATGCATGTGTGTGTATTTATATATACATAATAAATATACACAGTAGTACACAAAACTTATTTTGGATGCGATTAATCGTTTGACAGCACTAAATAAAATATAATAGGATGAATTTCATAAATTCTGTCAAGAGCATGTCTAAATTATATTTCAACTCTAAATCAAAAGAAATAAGGATTTTTTTTCTTAGAGAAAATTAAGCCAATTTTTAAAGATTTTATGATTATATTATATATTATAATTTTTTTACATAAAAGCCTATTTTTGCATCAAGGTTTCATTATGATACTGTAATATAAATATTATGATGTCATTATTTTCATGAAAACTTCCTATTACTGTAGTGCAAAAAAATCGAATTCTCAACTCTCCAAATAAAAAAAATAAGGATTTTTTTTCCTTACAGAAAATTAAGCAAATTTTTTATTTAATTACGATTTTATGATACATAATATCATATTATTATATAATACCTTACCCATATAAAGTTGTGTGTGTGTGTGTATATATATATATATATATATATATATATATATATATATATTACACAAAAACCTTTTTTGCATCAAGGTTTCATTATATTGTAATACAAATATTATATGTCACTATTTTCATGAAAATGTCCTATTACTGTAGTTAAAAAAATCGAATTCTCACTGCTGTAGTGATAAGATTTTTTTTATTTGTATATTTTGTGTTGTATTAGAGTAAAGTAAACCCTAAATTACAATAAAGCAAAACATCCAAACATATAACACTTATGAGGGAATAATTAAGGAGAAAAATATGCTTTATTGTCCTGAAAATAATGTCAAAATGCAAATTGAAATGCAAAAAGAAGTTCTAAAAAATAGTTCTAAATAGACTTTCTTTTCCTCATGCAAATTTGAATTGCTTTTGATTTTGGGGTGAGGACAAGTTTTCCTGAGATTCTGTCAATAATATTAGATTATTTTAATAGTCAGTAGAGAAATTGTAAACCACAGTTGTATGCATTTTCGAGTTGTCTAATTTCTTTTCTCTGTATCTTCTCTCACATGCTGCTTTGGATGATGACGGGAAGCTCATTACTGACCCTCTCACTCATTTTGGAGTTGCAGTTCCTCATACTTTCCATCTGAGCTGCGCTGAGACTGTTCCCTGTGGTTTTGCTCTCTGACTGGCTGGCCGCTTCTCTCGGGTGTGGCACGATCACTATTTCTACATGCTCATTGGCTATTTTTTCAGCTGGCACAGCTACGGACAGCTCTGATTGGTTGCCACTGGAGCGACGGTTCAGTGCATGCTGGGTACAGGAGAACGAGCGCTGTCGAGGTGCGGGTTGTGGAGACAGGAAGTGAGGCGTTGCCGCTCGAGTAGCGTCCTGGGTCATCTCCCTCTCCTCGTCCTCCGCTTCTGACGTCACTTCCTGGAGAGTGCTGATAGGCCGAGATGGGCGGCCAAGAATCCTGGGGCTGACCAGTGCCGTTGCTGATTGGTTGGGGGCTGGACGCCAGTTCTGGGGGGAGGAGCATTGCGTTCTTCCCATCTGCCAATCACTGTTGAGAACAAAACATGAGAACATGCTGGTAAAATTGTATATGCAACTGGAAGGAACAGCTGCAGAGCTGACTTACGTAGGCGGAGGTGTTGACATCCCTCTGTGACTGATGACCCCCGAAAACGAGGCACTTCTTCCAGGCAGATATGGAGGTGAAGCGACCCAAGGAGAATAGATGTACGTGCGATCGTCCCAGAGCACCTCAGTGGCGGGATCTAGAGGAACTGGCGCCTTGTGAACTCTGTGAGCCAATAGGAGCTCGAGGACCTGATGATGTAATCCCTCTCGAGCCACATCCAGTGGCCGCCGCCCCTTGCAGTCAGAGAGATCTTGATTGGCCCCGTTGAGCAACAGGAATCGTGCGGTGTCATAGCAACCGTGGAGAGCCGAGAGAAACAAAGCCGTTTCAGCCTATAGAAAAAAATTGAATTTTATTCCATTATTATTGGTGGATTATGATAATTCATTCATCAATCTATTGTTCATTCTCTCTATCATTCAATCTACATATAAATCATTCAACCGTTTGTTCTATCTATCCATCCATCCATCCATCCATCCATCCATCTATCGATCTACAGTGCCCTGATGGTGGATTTTCAATGCTTTAGCTCTTTTCTTACAGCCACTTTCTATTTTGTGAGGCTCAACAATCTTGTTCTGCACATCATAACTATATTCTTTGGTTTTACTTTTTGGTTTTACTTGTGATGGATGATTAAGGGAATTTGTCCTTTGTGTTCCTCATATTTACAATTCTGTGGATCAGGAAGTCATGGCTGGACAATTTCATGCTCCTAGTCAGTCACCCTGGTGTGCTAAAAAATGTAAATATGAATGGGAATATACTTCAGAGATATTTTACTCATAAGAATTTCTAGGGGTGCCAATAATTGTGGCCAGCATGCATTGGAGAAAAACATTTATTTCATCATAACATTTTCTCCCCACTTTCAATTGTTTTACTTCAATGATAGGTTAGAATTTTTTGAATGAAAGATCAAAAAGATCAACGATGCAGATTTATTTTCACAGCTGCCTTTGCTCATATTTACCAAGGGTGCATCTATCCATCCATCCGTCCATCCATCTACCGCAATTCAAATTCTGAATGGCGCGTAACCCTGATTTATTTGATTGGTTATACAAAAAGGTGACTTTTTCTTTACCTTATGGTCCTGTAAGTCCACTGCAGCACCGTAGCGAATGAGAGTCCGTGCCAATGGGAGGTGGTTTACTGAGCATGCCCAGTGGAGGGCAGATCTCCCTGGATGAAGAGAACGGGAGAGAGAGAGAGAGAGAGAGAGAGAGAGAGAAGAGATGCAAGAAGGAATTGACAACAAACAGGGCAAGGGTGATCAGGAAATGGCGTGTTGTGGCACACAGAGGGGCCAGAAAGTAGTGGACGAAGCCCAAAAAAATGACATGCAAGCATGTGTTATGAGAAGGGAAAACAGGAAGCGAACATTCGAGACAATAAAAGAGGGAAAATTTTGAGAGCGAGAGAAACAGGCATGGAAGGTTAATACATTATTTCCACATTGACCGGGCGCTACAGCACATTAACTGTGTTCTGAATCAGACGTGTTTATCAGGGGTGCTGGAGTGACGTGAGGGAAGCAGGAGGAGATGGAGGACGGCAGTGGGGAGTTCAGGACAGGACAGAGACAGTGACAAAGACAAAACCAGAAAGGGCAAAACACATTACTCCCCAACTGCAAAGGAAACAAAAACTATTCCTGTAATGTATTCTTGAAGACCACATTGATTGAAGGGACTCGTTCCACATGCAAGGGTTAATGGCGCTCTTACCCGTGTGGTCGGTGTTGTTGACTGGCACTCCGGCTCTCAGGAGCTCCAGAACCACTCGGTCAAGCCCGCTTCTGACAGCTCGGATCAGCACGACCGAGCCGTCCGGACCGCACCACTGCACAGGAGCGGCCTGAGAGAAGACAGCACAAATGATCAGCTCTACAGAGAGAATTTTTCAAATGCATAATGATGCAGCATGCAGACATCTTTTTAATAACAGATATCATGAGCGTTGTAGTATAATACATTTTTAAATGTGCAGGCAGATTATTCAAATGAGATAAACTCACATTTCTTGGTGGTCTTTGAAGTGTAGGAACCACATTTCTTTCCCATCCTCTAGGGGGAGCTAAAGGTGTAACAGAGAAACACAGTTGAAACAGTTGAAGCACAGTTGAAGCACAGTAGTCACATTTCTCCTCCCATCTGTGCTAAATAGTATGCATGATTAGAACTGGCACTTTCTCCATTCATGATGCATTGAAACTAATATGCAAATGTTGTTCAGATGCACATGATTTCGAAGGTTGGATGTAAAACAGGTTTTTCAACATGAATCTGTTGAAAGATTTGCTGGAATCATCACTCGGAAATGTTCACAGAAGTTCCCACATGGCATTTACATACTTTTAAATGTTTTAGTAAAAAAATTATGTATATATTTATACAGATTCGTTTAATATATTATCTAAATTAATCCAAAAACGATGCTTTGAAAATAATCTTTGTTAATTGAAGTTGCAAAAAATAAATAAATGAAAATATAAATATGAAACTTAAAATTTGCCTTGGCAACTTACTGAAATAAGTTAAATTGAAGTAAAAAAAAAATGAATAAAACTGAAATAAAAAATAAAGCTAAACAGCAAAGGCTAATAAAATATTAAAAAGGACAAAAGCACATCAAAATTACTAAAACATAAACTAAATTTAAAATGAAAACTGAAAATATAAAAATAAAAGCTAATTTAAAACAATAATAATACAATACAATAACAGTAGTATATAAATAAAGTAAAACTGAATTAATTAACTGCATTGTTTACATTATACATTATATTGTTTTCTGTGATATTTTGAATCTGCTTGGCTGTTCCAAACTGAAAAAAAATATATATTTATATATAAATATAATATTTATATATATAAATTATATATATATATAGAGAGAAACTAAATTAACATTTACTAACTGCATTGTTTACATTATACATTATATTGTTTTCTGTAATCTTTTGAATCTGCTTGGCTAAATACATTGAAAAAAATATATATATATTTATATATATATAAATATAATATTTATATATATATAAATTACATAGAGAGAGAGAATAACTAAATTAACATTTACTAACTACATTTTAATGTAATCTGTTGAATCTTGGCTTTTTTGCCAGAATTATGGTTTCGCAAATTTCAAAAAAACAAAACTATTTTGTCATTTTAGAGCAAACACATAAATAACACTGAGAAATATCATTTTTAGCCTTCTCATTCCAGCAGGTCTCACCCAGCATGCGGGGCTGTTTGAACTGTTTTTGGTCTGGTGATCTGTGGTCACAGATGGTCTTGTTGATGTCCTCCATGGAGCTCTGGGTCACATCGGTGTCACTTCCGATGTCCAGTTCCTTCCTCAGGGGTCTATAATCAGCGTAAAGGACACGGACAATTCCTCCTCATTAGCACGGTTTCCTCACTCACTCACAGTATGAAAACTCTTCAAAGACCCTCAAGCTCCTTTGAACATCAGACTCACCGCATACGGATCGCATCCTCACCGAGGGGCTCCTTACGTCTTTTTCCTGACTCCTTTCCTTTCTTGTTTGTCTTCGTCCCATTTCTGTCTTTATCTCTTCCCGATCTGCTTCTCTTCTCCTCAGAGCGGCGGGACCAGGCCTTGCTGCCGTTATTGCTGTCGGTCACCGTGGATCTGTGCCGCACTCGCTCTCCTCCTTCTCGTCTCTGTCTTCTTCTCTTTAACCACAGGAACACCACCGTGATGATCACGGCAGCCGCCACACCGAGCCCCGTCGCCACACCGACCACAGGCCACATCCAGGCAGGAGAGGCTTCATGAACTGAAACGTGACATTTAGCAACTAAACAATGCTCAGGAATACAAGAAAACAGGTACATTAGGCTAAATTCTAGATATTTCTCACAACTAACTTTTCTAAAACTCTCTTATCTTTTGCAGTGACTTTAAGCAGTTACGTTTTAATCAGCAGGGGATAAACACACATATTTAGCGGAGGGAAGGATGATTAGTGAATAATGATTACAATTTTAGTTCATTTCTCACACAATGCTATCGTATTGTTTTAGAAGAGTACTTTTATGGTGCTTTTTGTTGTTGTCATTTTAGGGTCATGGTTATTATGAAAATAAGAAAAATATTGCTGCTTTTTTGTTTGACAGCATTGTTGTTCTTGTTGAAATAAAGCTGAAATAAAATAAATATTAGATGAACAACTTAAAAATAATGAAATGAAAATTTGTGTTGTCTTGGAAGTTAGCTGAAATAAGCTTAAATTGAAGTACTAAAACTGAAATAAATGTAAAGCTATAGAAATTTTTAAAAATCTAGTAAAAATGTAAAAAGCACTAACGCACATAACTATTTTGTGCAAATCATTCCAGTTTTACAAATTACCAAAATTAAAATGAAATATTAAAATAAATAAACTAATTAAATCTCAAAATATTAATACATGCTATAATAATATGTAAATAATAAAATTTAGTTTTAAAATAAAATAAGTAAAATAAAAGAGTAAAATGTAGAATATGGCCTCTTTAAATAAAACAAAGATGAAAAACTTAAACCTAAAAACCTACAAATTTATTCTCTTAGCAACTAACTGAAATTTGAAGTAATAAAATTACTAAAACTGAAATAAAAATAAAGCTATATAGAAATGAAAATAAAAAACTGAAAATATAAAATAAAAGTGAATTCAAAAATTTAAATTTTAAACTTTAGTTTACAGTTTTTTACGATTGTTTACACACTAAAATAAAAATGGTGTATGTTTTGACTGAAGTGTGTATGTTTTGACTGAAGTGTGTATGTTTTGACTGAAGTGTGTATGTTTTGACTGAAGTGTGTATGTTTTGACTGAAGTGTGTATGTTTTGACTGAAGTGTGTATGTTTTGACTGAAGTGTGTATGTTTTGACTGAAGTGTGTATGTTTTGACTGAAGTGTGTATGTTTTGACTGAAGTGTGTATGTTTTGACTGAAGTGTGTCATTTTGCAAACAATCTAGGAATTATGCAAATTGAGTGTGGTGTTTGGATAATTGTGCTTATATTGTGAAAAAAAGAACCCGGTTTTCAAAATTGCGTGTAAACAATTGAAAAAAAAATGTAAATAAAATAAGTAAAACAAACGTTTAAAATGTTCAATATGGGCTCTTTAAATTAAATAAATTTTAGATTAAAAAATTAACTCAAATACTAATTCAAAATAATATACTAAAATAACACCTTATGCAGGAAAAATAACGGCATAATGGTTTGAAACTATAGAGAGTAAATAACAGAATTTAAATTTTGCATAAACTTTCTGTAAGTGTCTGAATAGTATGCTTATGTTTTGGCAAAGTACAAAGAAAACAAACCGTTGCGCTCCTCCTTTGGCAGCTTCACCTCCTCTCTGGCTCCTATTTCCTCATCGACTCCACGTACACTGATCACAGCCGCCAGGATCTTTGGGATCATGGGAAACGAGGCATGATTCTGTGCCAGGATGGCACGCAGGAAGTGTGCAGCCTCGACGGCATACTGGAAACAGGTGGAGGGAAGACGGGAGCAGGGTTTGTTATCCAGCTGCAGGAATAACACTGACCTGTAATACAAAAAAATATGCATGCAGTCAGCACACGTTTGAAAAACAGACCACTGATTACTGAAAAGACATGCAATAGCTGTATGATATCATTACTGAAGAGCTGTCACAAATAATATCTAACTAACAGTAAAACAAAACGGCCTTAAAATCAAACACTGAATTGTATTTAATCAGATTAGCCAATCAAAACTATGTTCATTTACCTAAAGTAATCTAAAAGCAATCCCAAGAGAGGCTCACAGAAAGGGTGGAAAGTAGCTGTGCAAAAATAAATGATTTTTTTTTTTACATTATTTTAGGTGTTTTTTTTGCCTTTTCTTTATGGGTTATTTCTATCATGAGCATTGTTGGTGCATAATCCCTTGATTAACATGGACTATAAATAAAAAATAAAATAAAATAACAAAATTTAAATGTAGCATATGGCCTCTTTAAATGATTTATTTTTAGTTATATTTTATGCTTTTTACAGTTTATTTATATTATGAGTATTTTTGATGCATAAACCTTTGATTAACATGGACTATAAAATAAAATAAAAACAATTAAAAAAAATTAAAAGCTTGAAATGTAGAATATGGCCCTTTTTAACTTATTAACATTATTTTATAGGTATATTTTATAGTTAGGTTTATTAGTTTATTTATATTATGAGTATTTTTGGTGCATAACCCCTTGATTAACATGGACTATAAAAAATAAAGTAAAATAAAATATATAATATATTTTTGATGCATAAACCCTTGATTAACGGACTATAAAAAATGTAAAATAAAAACTACATTATTTAAAAATATTTACAAAATAAAATTTTATTTAAAGCTTGAAATGTAGAATATGACCTCTTTAAATGAAAACATAAGACAGTATCACTAACCCATTGCTGTCATAGGCTGGTGTTTGAGCGTACAGCTCGGCGAGCTGTCGGGTGTCCATTGTAAGTAGGTCTGTGGTGGGCTGGAGAGGTGCCATCCCTCTGAGTTTGACGCTGGTCTGCAGGACAGTGCTTAAGGGCCATAACAGAGAGCTGTTCTGAATCTGACCCCTCTGGAATGGGATTCTAGTGTGCAGTATGAGGCTTCCTTTGGCCCAGATGGGGTACTGCTTTTTGTGGCAGTCCGAGCCGTCCCACCCACAGGGGGCGTTGTTGCAGCCCTGGTCGCAGTGGCCGTTGTCATAATGATTTCGGCAATAATGTATATGCCCTAAACTGAGAAAACACAACATTTTACTTCAAGCATGCATATAACAAATGATAAATATTCCTGTTGCATTGCAATAAATTCATATGCATATCAGTTGTAGGTTCTCGTGAATAGCCTAATTATAACAACGGTATCCTGCTATGCTTTATATTTTTTAAGGCACGTAATTTGATGCATTGTAATTGTGGTTACAATTATAATACTTTATCGAGTTTTCAAGGCCGAAGTATTTTTACTTCGTTTTTGTAGACCTAACGCTACTTGTACATTTTTCAAGTAGGCCTAACTTTTACTTTTACCTCAGTACATTCCAAAGCATAATATTGTACTTTTTACTCCACCAGATTTCTTAAAAACACGTCGTTCCTCGTTATTTTGAGCTGGAGAAATCGCCACCCTTTCCGAGACGCGATACCGGTGTTCGATTCGCGAGCGAGTCGATTCTTCTCAATGAACCTGTTAAATCTATTCGCGAATCGATTCGAACGATTCATTCACGAATTGAACTGATTGGATTGCTGCTGTTCCCGAGTCAACAACTCGCTGATTCAAATGATCCGGTCAGAGTGAGTCTCCAGTTAACGAGTCAGTGAATTCACAAGTAATCGAAGCTCGAGTCAGAAAAGTCAGACAGTCAGAAAAGTAAGTTATTAATGCCGAATATTAGGATTTAGGCTATTATTGTAAATGAAAATAATATTTAGATCACGACTGAGCTGTTTGCGAACTACATATGCTGTAACAAGTTGAGCTATTTAAGCCCACCACTGTAAGAAATGCTTGAATGTGGACACGTCCACATTTGTGTATCACCGTCTCAACGGGCTAAGTTTTCCTCGTTTCTAAATACTATATATGTTATATTAAGGTTTTTTTTTTTTTCAATTGTTTGCACACATGACGTTTCAGTTACCTAAATTGCTATTTTTATATATTGTTAATGTTTTGATAGTGTATGATAGGGCCCCCCTCCCCAGGTATTTTGAGCAGTAGGGCTATAAAATATCTAAAAGTATATATATAAAAAAATTGTTTTAAAAAATATTTATTGATTAGTACTTTGTATTTTTACTCGAGTAAAATTGAGTACTAATACTCAAGTCTACTAGAGTAATATTTTGTTAGGGTATCTGTACTTTTACTCCAGTACTAGATTTGTGTACTTCCCCCACAACTGGATGTGATATTTCATGTGATATTAGCATGCTTCACGCTGGTTTCTTACATGCAGATGCCTTTGTCTTTGAGGCAGTCGAATCCATCTCTCAGACAGTCAGAAGTGGAGCACTCCTGATCACATACTCCATTCCCAAACTTGGCCTGGCACGTTTTTCCTGCCATACAGCTGCTGTATGGATCACTAGGGGAGGCTTTTAAGGGAAAGCAAAAGTAAGTATGAGTATCATGTCATAGAAACGAGTAGAGTAGCAATGTCAAGCATGTTTTTGAGCTATCAAAGGGCCCACATCACTAAAGATGTTCAGCATCATCCTGGCTGGTGGGGGCGGGGCCTTGACCTGAATTCCAGGAGAAACAGGAAACGAGGGGCATGACACAAACAGGAAGTTTCCAGAAGCGTCGAACAGCAACAGGAAATGGGGTGGAATGGGAGTGGATGAAGGCTGAGGGCATTACTGTAGCGATCAATATCTTATTTTTGTATGTCTGCTAAAAATCTGTACATTTGTATTTTTCTCTTAGCATTTTCTCCATTGAAGATGTATATATATATATATATATATATATATATATACACTACTTTAAAAAAAAAAAAAAGTTCTGAGGTCTGTAATATTTTTTAAATGAAATTATTACTTTTATTCAGGAAGGATGCATTACACTGATCAAAAGTTTCAGTCATTTATTAATAATTTACAACTCATTTATAATTTTACAAAATGTTCTATTTAAAATAGAAATAAATAGATTTCTATTTAAAATAAATACTGTTTTTTTACTTTCTATTCATTAATCAAATTTTTTCTGTACAGCAAAATACAGAAAGTACATATGGACAAATGGATCTATACACACACACACACACACACACACACACACACACACACACACACACACACACACACACACACACACACACAAGAACATTATATTTTTTATAATATGCTTTTTTTTTTCAATAAAAATATATTTAATTTGTGGGTCTGAGACCAAAGTTTGGGAATTAAACCTGAAAGTAAAAAAAAAAAAAATGTTACAGCCAATAAATATTTTAGATTTTATTTTAGAAATATTACAGATTTTTACAAAAAACAAACTAATAATACTAATAAATTTTATAATAAAAATAGAATGTTTAATTAATTTGCTTGTTTGTTAATGTTTAATTTAATAAATATGTAATACATATCTAATATCAAATATCTAATATCAAATTTCTAATCATTTGCCTTCAAATTCAAGCTGTAAAAACAATTAGTGAATAGTATATATTATTCCTGTCTTGTTTGCAGCGAGTAAGTGGTAGAGATAGTAAGTGGGTCATTAGAACACCAGCAATCATCACATCATCATGCAGTCATCTGTGTCCATCTATTCATTCATCCATCAGTTCTGTCCACAGGAAACTGAATTTGACTCACCTTGAGATAATCTGCAGAGAGTCCATACGATGAAGGAGAATCTCACAGTCAGGTGCATCTCTGAACACAGACGCGAGTCCGGAGTTAGTCAAGTTCCTTTTGATTTGACACAGCAACCCCCTCGAGTATGAATCTCTAAGACCAAGACCTGGTGTCTTCTCATTTGAGGCTGCTCTTATGTCTTCAGGGAGTCTTGGGTGGTTTCTTCAGATGGATGCAGCATTATCAGTCCAGTAATACTGTGTGCAGTGTGTGAACGTTCATGTCTACACCCTCAACAGCTCCCTCCCTGAATTTGTCCCTCATTCTTTTTCAGAAGCACGGCGGATATCTGGACGACTTCCTGCCACTGTGTGGAAAAGAATAGGAGCGAGTGTGTGTGTGTGTGTGTGTGTGTGTGTGTGAATCTGAAAGGTCATTATTATCGCAGGAGTTTGACCTGTTTATGAAGTATTTTACTGCATGAATTGTGTTGAAGGAAATTTGACAGGACAATTGAACAATACCACACACAAAAAAAAAACTTTACTTCCTTGTGTTCAAACTAGACATAATATCTCATTTTTATATACCTGCTAAAAGTCCTGCACATTTGTGTTGATTTTTTCAGCAGCTTGTCCATTGAAGACGGATATATACACTACTGTTTAAAAGTTTGGGATCAGTAAGATTTTTTTAAATGAAATTAATACTTTTATTAAGCAAGGACACATTACGTTGTTCAAAACTGACAGTTAAAACATTTATAATGTTACAAAATATTTATATTTCAAATAAATGCTGTTCTTCTGAACTTTCTATTCATCAAAGTATTAAAAAATGTTTTCCACTGAAGTATTAAGCAGCACAACTGTTTTCAGCATTGATAATAGTAAGAAATGTTTCTTAAAGCAGCAGATCAACATATTAGAATGATTTCTGAAGGATCATGTGACACTGAAGACTGGAGTAATGATGCTGAGAATTCAGCTTTGCATCACAGGGAAAAAAATTACTATTATTTATTAATAATAGTTATTATTTATTTATTTATTTATTTTTTGTCATTTCTGCAGTTATGCAAGCAAGACACAGAGAAACAGAAATAAGTATTGTAATTACTTTTTTTTTTGTATTACTAGAAAAAAAAGAGAGCCTAAACTAGCCTAAGGTGGTTGGTCTTAGCTTGCCACAAAACTGAGGATGTTCTGATGGTGTATTTTTTTGTAGTTTTGACTGCTTTTATTGTCCTCATTTGTAAGTCGCTTTGGATAAAAGCGTCTGCTAAATGACTAAAAAAAAAATAAAAAAATTTTTTATTCAGTGTAAAAAATTCAGCAGACAAAATAAATAGCCTAAGTTACTTATATAAATTCAGGGCACCAATTCTAAAGAGTAAATTTACTGTGCATTATTTGTTGCACTTATCTTCATCCTGCTTTTATGGGCAGGGCGGGTTACACTAAAATATTTATGAATATTAATTAGGTTATACTTACGTTGCTGCTCGGTAACATTTGTAGGGATGCGCACGCAACGCGCTGCTCAACGTATGTGAAGAGAACAGTGAAGACACTGGAGACAGGTTCATAAATGCTGAACTATTTTTAACTCAACACAGCGTCTTAAAACGCTGCACTCATGACGCGGGAGCCTTAACAAAACAGCGATACGAGTCGCAGCGGTCAAAGACTCCTTTTTACCTGCTTTTTACATAGGAGGACAGTGACAAAACAGCGAAAACCGACATAAAAACACCTCCTGTGCGGCATTTTTTTTAAATTTTTTTTTTACAGACGTTCAACGTTATTAATATGTAATAGATGAGCCCTCCTTGATTGGCCAGTTGCCTACCAACGCCTTCCTGCCAACCAATGAGGTAGGACTCCATCGCTACCGTCACGTTACGTAATTAATATTCATGAGTTATGCTCAAATGGTATTTTCCTTGCAGTTCATACTTTCGGTTTCAGATTCGTAACCCGTGTGCTGGCTACACGAGCAGCACTCTTATTTATCTTCTTTATTTTCTGTTTTTAAACTATAATGTATTAAATAAATGTAACGTGGACACTGAAAACATTACATTCTTGCATTTTAAAGCAAAATTTCAGTAGTATCTACTAACAAGGTACGTATTGTTTCCTTCTTTCTGTTCAATGACATGTCAACATGCAGTGCTGCGAACTCTTTAATCTTATCTTACACAATACTTAAATACCCAGGTAGCCAGCGGAATCGGGCCGGTTGCGGCCGCATCTGGCCCGAGTTATTTCTTCCGGCTTGCCGGATTTGGGCCGTTATCGGGCCAGATCTTTTTGGCTACCTGGGTAATTTTGTACAGTCAAGAATTATTCACAACTTTGACTACTACTTTGCTATTGCTAGTAAAGTAAGCAAAAACTTATTGAACATAAATTAACAATTTTTAGAGTGAAAGTGAATTACTTATACGATATTATTATATATTATTACTTATACATAAACGCTGGTTTTTGCAGGTGCTATTCTGGTTGTTTGTAATTGCAAATGAATTTGTTCTGTGATTCGTTTTAAATGCTGTTTTCTCGTTGCCAGTGCTGGAAATGAAGGATAAGATGGCCTTTCCTCTGTTCACCCTGTTGGCAGTGTGTGTGGACGTGAGTGCCGTGATGTTCATTGGTGCCATCCAGCTCACCTCGTCCTTCATCAATAACACCTTCATCCTGCTGTGGGCCGGTGGACTGCTCCGAACATGTCTCCTCCTGTTTGTCTCCTTCACCTACCCTGGCAGCCCGGCTTGGATGAGAGGATTCGAGGGGGTGCAGACGGCCGTAATTCACGGTCTTCTCTATCCAGTGTATATTTCCTTCCTCTGGGCTTGTGACAGGTCTACGGTGGAGCTGGTGTGGGGCTGGCACACCTTGCAAGGGGTAAGATGTGTTTTAATACGTTTAAATGGCATACAGACACCTGGAAGAGTATTTTAAATGTCAGGTGTGAAGATACAGTGTTATTTTGTATGTGTGCATTAAAATCCGATTATATTTCAGCTCCTGCAGGGCTATGCGGTGTTGGCTTTGTCTCTGTTGCTGTGGAAACGCTATGTTCCCGCTCTCCTCCCGACAGCCAAAAAGCAGAAAACAGAGCAGAAGGGCAAGGCTTCACTGCAAAGGCTGCTGGGATACATGAAGCCTTTCAGTGGACGTTTTGCAGTAGTCTTCTTCTTTGTGGTTATTTCTTCATTAGGTAAAAACATGCTTATGTGTTGTGTCATACATATAAATGCACTTCTTTGATTTAATTTTATGAGTCAAAGTGGGATTTGGCAATTTTGCAAAAAAGACTTTTATAGGCTACAGACCCCCAAATATGATGATTCTTCTGCAAAGGACCCCAATCTAAGCTATATATTTTTTTTCATGTATAAAGACCCAATTTATATAGTAAAAATGTATATTATAAATATGTCTAAAATATTATTTGGCAAATATTTACTTTCTACGTGACATGCAAGATAAAATAAATAAATCGTGCGCACGATTTACTAATTCGTTCCCTCGATGTACTAAAACGTGCACATGATTACTATTTTGTTCCCTCGATTTGCTAAATCGTGCGCACAATTTACTAATTCGTTCTCTTGATTTATAAATCGTGTGCACGATTTAGCCTACTATTTTTTCCTGCATGCCATGTGTGGTGCTCCGTAACTTTCTATTACGATACTGTCAGATGTACAATTTATTGAATCAGTTTATCAATTTATTTAAATATATATATATATATATATATACAATATTATTTATTTTATTTTTTTTACAGTTTTTCTCTTACTGGCCATTAAAAAAATCATTTCACATGACATGTCTGTTATGGCTTTATGATCTGTAAATAATTACCTTGAAATCTAGCCTACAGTGTCATTTAAAACTATAGTCTGACAAATGAAAGAAAGTTAAATGTGATCTAATGTTACTTTTAGTTTCACTTTGGTTACGTTTGCTCTGATAATTGTTCAGTACACAAAATCATGCCAAGTTTGCAAACGCAGTAAATGTTTCAGGCAACTATGTTGAACATATTGATTCTTCTCTACAGAGATAAGACATTTTAATGTTTTGATTGCAGAATAATGTGGGCCACTGATCATAAATCTTGTATCTTTTGTCTGTAAGCAAATTAGAAGATATAGACATGAATGTTAACATGCAAATTTGAATACATATTGTCCTGAAGGTGAAATGGCGATTCCTCATTACACTGGAAAAATGACAGACTGGATCATGAATGAAGATGAACCCGAGGCCTTTAACCATGCTATCACTGTCATGACACTGATGACCATTATGAGGTAAGACCAAGAAGGACAATCTTTTACACCACTGTTCAGTAAGACACTGCGCAAAGACACATTAAACTGATCGAAAGTGACAGTAAAGATATTTATAATGTTACATTTAAAGACGTGTAGAATAATGTTACATTTATAAAGTTTAAAATAAACATTTTCTTTTGAACTTTCTATTCATAAAAGAACTTTGAAAAAAGATACCACGGTTTGGACAAAAATATTCAGCGTTTTACAGCATTTATGATAATAAGAAATGTTTCTTGAGCTGCAAATCATCATATTAGAATGATTTCTGAAGGATCATGATGTGACACTGAAGTCTAGAGTAATGATGCTGAAAATTCAGCTTTGCATCACAGGAATAAATTACACTTTGAAATATATTCAAGTAGAAAACATTCCTTTTAAATTGTAATAATATTTCACAATATTACAGTTTATACTGTAACAGTAAACAGCTTCTCAGCTGTATTAAAGAGAAATGCACACCTCAGGATTTCCACCTGTTTTCTGCAGCGCTGTGTGTGAGTTTGTGTGTGACCTCATCTACAACATCACCATGAGCCGAATACACACGTCCATCCAAGGACTCGTCTTCCAGTCTGTGCTGAAGCAGGATATTGCGTTCTTCGATAAAGCTTCCACAGGTAAAACTGCAAACATACTCAATTAGGGTGTGTTCACACTTGGCGTCTTTTTTGACAAGAAAAAGTTGACAAGAGCGCTTTTTTTATTAAAATAAAAAGCTGGCAGTGTTTTGGTTACAAATAGCAGCCGAGGGCGTCTTGTGTGCTGCAGAAATGTCGAGAAAGAGTAAAAAGTTGGCTCTTTCGTTGCCTTTTGAAGTTTAGCAATTTAGTCCAGGAGCTCCGGTTGAATGATGCACGGTTTGTGGCATATTTTAGACTAAGTTAGATACAGTTTTGTG